ACCGACACTTATTCTGACGGCACCGACGGAACCAACTCACCTTGTACGAGAATTACCACACGACATTCTAGACTTCATCATTTACTCATCCAACATCACTATCAGCACGCCTCACCCGCAGAACTCGCCTCTGACCACCTCCCCATCATTTTCACTCTCGACATCTTATCCCTACATATAAGCATCTCCCGCAAAAACATTAAAACTGAAACACCCTCACGCTTACCACCACCACTTTTAACACATATTTTCTTCCCTTGTTCTTCTCACCCTCCCTCCCCCATCCTTCCTCACCGAACAAGAGCACGTCTGGGGTAGTGAGAGGCTCCTCCCCCCCACCCCTCTTTCCTAGCACTACACGCCAGTCAACGAATCCGAGTCGGGATGAGCACCTGTGCATGCCCGCAACAAATATAAACAATGTAGACAACAAGTGTTTTTAGTGTATCATTAGGAAACAAAATAAACGTCTTTGATAAAATATTCCGTGTGTTATAATTCAACACTAAGAAACCTTACAATAAAGGACAAATAACAAAAAACTTTACAATATGCATGGTACGCCGCACAATATACAGAGCAGAGACCATGATCATTTCCAACTCTCGCGCAGTTCTGTTTAGATATTACAAATCGTGATTGTGAAATATAATTATGCCAGAAATATTCGTTTGTTACATGAGCATGGTGTACAAAAAGTTGTGCTTTCAACACTACATAAATTATCAATGTGATAATTACCCTGAATAAAACCAGTGTGCATATTTTTTTCATGAACTAATTGCATGTCATTGCAAAGAAAATTTAAAAACTGTTGTTTATGTTTCTTGTGAAATTAAGTTTTTTGAATTGTACACAAGTGCAACATTTAAGTTACTTTTGACAAAGTACTCTTGCTATAGTAAATTATGCGTAATACAGTATTAAATTCAATACATAGGATCACAATTTATTTAGGCATAAAGAATACTTTAAAGCACAAAATTGATTGAGTTTCAATTCAAATTAAGAATTAATTTAATCTACGTAAAATTTACGTAGAAATTTGAATAATTCCTCTACCAACAGTATATGTATTGTACTGTAGTAAGTTCTTTTATTACATACAATTCATTATTTGTAGTACATGCAAAATAACTTGTTATATTTTGTATCGTTTTCGAAGATAAGATATAACATAAGAAATTCCATTCCCGTGAGATATATACCACTTAAAACATTCTAAAAGAAAAATTAAAGAATGGTAATATTCTCAAACGAAACAAAATAAAGTCATGTGAATTTCTTTCACAAAACAACTTTTTAAATCTTTTTACGTAATTTGAATATGAAGTGATACAGTAGTAATTTGATATACTTTTCAATAATTAGTAATTATGCATATTGACGATATTCATGGCAATAAAAAAGTAACAAACTTTCATTGAGAAATGGTTAAGGATATACAATATCTCAAATGATATGGACTTTAATAATAAGACAAGCATGGAGGGCCCTGGGAATGACTTGCTCCCGCCGAATACAATTTGACCATGAGAAGGAAAAACCCCCTCTGCAATTGTAGCCTCGGCGCCCGCGCGCTCGGCTTGCGAGGGCTCATCATGTTCTCTGTAGAAACAAAAAAAGGTACGAGAATGTTGGCAAATTTGGACATTTTTAAAGTTATTGTTAGTATGTAACGGCAGCCAAAACTTACATCATGCGATGAAAAGGGCATGTACATTCAATGTAGAAAAAAAAATAGGGCATGTTTCGATAACACAGCGGCATTCCCTTGTAAGTATATTACGTAACCGTTAAAATAATACGAGAAAGTAAGCGCACTCGTAGGATCAGGTTCTTTATTTGGTTTTATATATTTTAAATTTTTATACCTTATTAACAGTACAAGAGAAGAGAATGAGTAGGGACAGATTTTGATGACCTAAATCAACGCCTAAAATTATCTATAAAACACTCTTCAAATGTTTTAAAAATGCCCTAAAAGCAAAGAAAGATTACTTTAAAAATGTGGTCAAAACCAGTTCGGACGAACAACTCACGCTGGATACATTACTGATAGGGCTAAAAAAAAGATTTTTTTAAATACCAATAAGATATATTTGATTAAAAAAAGATTTTTTTTAAAAATTATTACGTGTTTTCGCTTTAAACCAAAATCGGTTTGTGACTGAAATTGGACGAACCGGCAATGGCAGTGACAGGCGACACAGAAACCTTAAGTGTTAGATTACAAACAACAGCTGACAGAGTCAAGAAATAGAATAGGCCACTCAGGAATTCTGTGGAGAACTTTTATTGAATCTCGTAAACATTATCTGAAGCAAATACCACTAAAATATTAAAATCGATAAAATCAGCGAAAAATGCATTAAAATGACAGAAAAAGGCTAAAAATTACTTATTAGTCGAAATCGACGAAAAATGCAAAATTGACATTAAAAACGGGTCATTCCGTTATAACATAAAAATAATTCCTATACTAAGCGGCATTGTGAAAAAAATGACATTTCATTAAAATCCGCCCCCTAGTAATGACAAAGCGACATCTTACCATTCCATTACGATCCGGGTGTCTACGCAGTGTTTCGAAATAAATGAGCGCAGTGAGTTAGGAAACCAAGGCGCATAATGTGAGGGAGAGGGGACCTGACGTCAAACGAATTCGTTGAAATCAACTTGTACGAAGTAACAAAATGTACATGTGTTTAATGTCCTATACACATATGTAGATTACAGCAGCAGCTGCTTCGTGCATTTCAAAGAAAATTCAGACGTTTTGAACAGTCAGGGTCATGGGAGAGATCCGCTCGTCACAGGAGCAAGACTTGTCAGTCAACGAGTTTGTATGTCCATCAAACACAGGACTTTTGGGATGGTAGAGTTAGCCCACAGGTGTGAAAACCGTGTTTCAGCTGGCACTACTCTGCACTAGATATGAGGGTGTAAAGTTCATGGAACACATCAAGTCTAGTTTCAATTCGGGCGTAGATGGGACTGATTTTAAATTCTCTGAACACAATTGAGTTGTTTTACAAATGTTTAAAAAATAGTCCATAAAGTTCGCATCGCACGCACTTAACAATATCACGTCAACGACGTCCTGTGAGTCACGACATCTTTCCATTTCCGAAGTCTTTCATCTATGTTCAACACCTTACCTGATTTTGCTCTCCTATATGTTTGTGTACTCTCAACTGCCCATACCGTTTGTGTTAATGGTCGTCCTCCCTTATCTCGCTCTCGGATGAAGACATTATTCAAACGCACTACACCAATTCGGTAAAAAAATATTTGTGGGACAAACTGAAGCGACTAATTCACTCGTGTTGTTTTGACCAATAACTTTAAAGAATTCTTATCGTGTAGGCCAATCACCTCCACAGCCAATTGCTTGAAAATCAGTTTTATTCTCTCTGAACAGTAGAAGCATTTGCATTACGTTTGCACCAACTTCTGTAGACTCCACCAGATACAAAACGTCTTCTTAGTATTTGTACGTGACAAAGGCGAATAAGAATTTACTTTGCTCCTGAAATAAAGTTATCATAAAACTATTACTCGAGGTTATGTTTCTCAGATAGAATCATTCACCACTACGCGGCAAGATTTATCTGTTAACATCAAAACCTCCCGTTATTTACTTACTCACCGTCCAAAACTGAAAGATGGGAGGGGGCACTAAAAAGGTTTGAACAACGATTAATCTCGTCCAAAAAGAAAAACTTAACGCACTAACGTAAATTAAAACTTAGCGCCACTACGAAGGATGATTTTCACCAGGGGATTTCCCTCATTTTCCTTCCCGTGAATCCGCGCCTGCTTTCACGTTCAAACATGTTACCATCTGATACATTGCATGCACCTTAATGGCCTCTTAATGCACGCAAGAAATAGTCCTGTCAACCAAATGTAAGCACAAGTTTTTTCCTCTCTGTTTCTTTTTTTATGAATTCTCTTACAATCATGTGGTTGGGTACTTTTCATTTTGGGGCCAACGTTAGTATTTCATGACAATCTGTGACGATGATGATGACTCAATGATTCACGACAATGATTAACATTTATATTCTAACTCTAAAATTTACATTAGCACTGGTGTGGAAGTAAACTACGTTTTCTTTGCAATCTTGATTGCACATGACTATGTGGTATGACGACTGCGAATCTATTTCACTCGCCACGTTGTCTACGAAATGCTACTGTGGACTAGACTCCCTTTTTAATCTTGAAATGATATCCATGAAAATTGAATTATAAATTTCATTCTTCACACTTGTGTGATTGCCACAAAGGAAGAGAGAACAAGGATTGAACTGAGAAGGGTATATCATGTACTGATAGTTCTGTCCTCAAAAAGAATCCGAGGACATATACAAACACAAAATGAGATTTCTCATGAACGAACCAAGTCTGTAAGTATCAATCCAAAGTATCAAAAATCATCACTGATATAATATTCCTTTCCCCTTTAGATTTTTAACACAATATGACACTGAAGCCTCCGCATCCACAGAATGACACTACCATGCCTCCATTTGTCCAGGGTTGCAGTATATTTCTAGCTTGATAGAGAGTGGTGCCAGGAGGGAAAAACGGGAAATACTAATGAAAAAGGCAGACAAAAGGACAATTAGACAAAATGCCAAATATAGGCATCACAAGTTAAAATAGGCAAGAAGATCATGACTAATACAACTCCAGATGAACAATTAAGTGATTCCTATTGTTTAAAGTTATAAAACTGTAACAATAAAAAGGCATTTTGCTAAACTGCAGGGCTTATTGTTATTATTCAAATGTACTGTCACATCTGCCATTTAACGAGCAAGAGAAAGGCGTATTAAGTGAATGTGTGAACAAAGTTTCACTCTCATGTTATTTATGAGGTATTGGAAATTAAATTGGTCTGAGGCAAGTTTCTGTAGAAAATGTGATGAAGGGGAAACAAAGTTCTTGTAAGTTCCCAACTTTTCCATTATTCTCTGAATTTTTCAGTCCTTTGGCCATCCTAAGAAACTTCTTTGCAGGTAAAAAATAAAAATTGCAAAATAAGATATGGAACTCTGGGCTGCACATCAACAAGCATATTTCATAATTTGTCAAATACATAATGTTTCAAGGTGTTCGGTTTTGTTACTACGAAGATGATATGATATTAAATTATGAATTGCTTTACACAAAATTTCTCACAGCAATCACAATTTAAAAGCATGAATACACCGAACAGCACAATAATGTGTATGGAGAAATGAAGGAAATGATGAAGCACATGAATCATATTTATTCATAAATACTATTCACAACAAAATGAAGCAAAAATGGCTTCCTAAATTCATCTGCAATTTCAGAAACAACATGAATCTGAGAACAATTATTGTAGCATAACATAGGTATTCATTTAACATTTTTTATAATCACAAGTGTTTGAGAAAATGTTTATTGACAAATAAAACAATGACTTTTACTGACCAATAACTCTCTACGAAAGCCAAAGACATTTAACTTTTTTAGTGCTACGTGCCAAAACTATGAAGTTTGTTATACATACAGAATGTCAAGATGCGTGTTAAGAGTGCAAGAAAAACATTTTCTCTACCACTTATCAATTACTTGTCTATTCTAAAGAATTTCAAATTTTTAAGACCAGAAATAGAGCACTGGTAAGTACAACAGGCCTAATAACCAGGTAAGGTACACATCAATGCCACTTAAGCATTTAGGTTGCCAGTTAAACATATATTAATTGAAGGTTACTAGATAGGTTGCAGTTAATACATCTCACCCCTGTTGTAAACATATAACCAATATATTCATAATCATATGTTATCCCAAAAGAATTGCCTTTTTCAAATGGTAAATTGAGAAATTTCACAATTTCTAACAGCATTTTTATTGTATTACTAATACATCCATTCCTCTGCAAGCTGAAAATATTAAGATAGTGGTTAAGTGAAATTGTAAGTTGCTTTAGAACACTTCCTTTTTCAAAGACCATTGCCCAATGGAAGGCATGGTAATCTTTGGCATGGTATTGTTATTTCTTCAATCCCAACAAGAAGTCACATTTAAATTAAATTACATGGATGAGAATATTTTACATCAAAATTGATACATTGACACATTGTATATTTATAACACTGATATTATAGACAATGGTTTCTTTGCATACTAGGAGTGCAATGAAGCAGAACTTTGTTTGAATACTAATTTAACTACAGGGTATAATTATGGTCATTTATTCCAAACAGTTGTAACTAAAGGACCTGCAGGGCCTGCCTACATAACTGATCAATGAAGAAGGTCGGTCAGGGGGACAGATGTTTAAAGGATCCTCAAAATTAAATTAAATTATTTTTAAGTCTCTATACTTTCAAACTGAGGAAACAAGCTTAAAAATTCATTACTGTTTTATGGTACACGTAATATTTGGTGTAATGCATGATGTACCATTTGATAAAGAGTTCAGCAACTTCACGAATATCACGAACATTCTAATGTCTTGTCAAACAAATGTTACAGTAAATATTATTTCTAAACACTTTAATTGTTAACATCCAACTGACAATTTAAATAAAGATGTGGGATCTATTAGAAACTTTTGCAGCAGGGCCCAAGAGATCTCAGTTACACCACTGCTTTCCATAACCTTCATGTCAACCAGACTTGGTATACAGATTTAACAGAATTAGCCGTTTCAGAAATTTAGCCAATTTTGTTCAATCAATGTACAATTCTCATGCTTGAGCCAACACCCCAAATGCTTGTAACTTGAAAGTCTTATGCACAATATAGAACTACTTTCTTCAAATTCCAGTTTGTCATGACTCTGCTACAATCTCTCATTTGTCGTCTGTACACCTACCTATGAAGGTTTCACATGATATTCTGTAAGTCAAACCATACCTGATGTAACTAAAAAATAATGATCAATGGTCAATATTGTTATGAATTGTTTTGACTTGGTGCTGCTGTGAGTAATTTTAACAGGCCTGGTGTGGTGCAGTTTACATGATTGGCAACACTGCAGTCTCAACACTTTGTGAATGTGAGTAGTTATAACTTTACAGCAATTACAATTTTTTAGTACAACTGGTATAGCACAATAAAGTAAGAGCATAGCAAGAGCTGAATATGATCATGCATTTGTAGCCAATACACAGTACTATTTGAAAATACATATTCTTATGTAATAAAAAAATTACTCTATTTTAATTTTTCCACAATTTATTAAGTTGTTCTTGCTCATTTGCACTCTATCCACTAATCCTCTGAAGCATACATCAATGGTGGATATAGTGGAAACAAACAGATTTATTTAATATATTATAATATATATATTATATATATAATAATATATATAGTATATATATATAATTAATTAAGATGCAAATGCATATATAACATTCAGTCTCCTATGAACATGTCAATATCACAGCTGTGATTGAATCTGTTTCAAATTTTCCATTATCTTGCATGTTTTCAGATAAATAATATTTCAGTCACTAGGCTTTGTCATATTGTCACTTCGACATTCTGATGCTTCATGGAGCAAACTTTCAATTCTGACACATGGCACATTATTAGTTTACTATGTAAACTCAAAATTACTACCAATGCATTGAAAGTATATATAAATATTTAAAAATCTATAAAATTGTGGACATTATGTCTAAGTTTACCAGACTGATAACTAATTCAGTAATAGTATCATAATAACAATTAGGATCTAGATGCTCATGACTTGTTATATTTCTTGTTTTTTAAAATATTTGTGCAGCGAACTTAAAGTAAGTTCTTGTTCATATTTTGATTAAAATATTTTATTAGTTATGTGTTGCTGGCAATTGTAGTAAAGAAACATCCAGTTCCAGAAAAAAAAATTAACAACAAAAATCTTCAAAAAGATTGAAGACTTCCCTGAGATGGGATGCTTTAAAAGAAAAAAGCATCCCATCTCAGGAAGCTTTAAAAGGAAAAAGCAACGAAAAAAATTTAAATATATTAAAAAACAGCAAAATTACATATAGTAATCAGAGATGCTGCAAAAGAGAAACAGGTTCTGTGGGCAAGAACAATAAGTGACACTTTGTTATCCAAAACTGACTTGTTTAAATTTAACATTGTTAGCTCTGCCATTTGCAAGGTATTGAATGAAGAAGGTTCTATTGAACACTTCCTCCTCCTAAATAGATGACAATAACACAAGATTCCTTCAGGTGCAGGAGATTTGAAACTTCAACACTGGAAACATCATTGTTTTCCTGACTATCCCATCACTTTGGTCTCTACTGTTACATAGCATATAGTAAATATCAAGGAATCTGCAACACCATTTGAGCCCCTTGATTGAAAATAAACATACAGAGATATAAATAATGAGGAAAGAACAGAACTGAAAATCTATTCTCTAGCTTAAATTCTATACCTATCTAAAAGAATAGAAATCAGGTCATTTATATTTTACAACACCAATACAGGATTCTGACTTACATCTTAGAAACGTACATTAGGAGGATACATGTCTGCAGCAGAACATGTCTGAGGTTTTCAAAAGTTTCATAGTCCAACTGATTACTTTTACAAAATCAAAACTTAAATTATTAGTCACAGTGAAGGGTGGTACCTGAACAATATATTGGACATTTTGTTTGTCTGGTTATTTTGGGTTTCAAAACATTTCTGCCATTGAGAGAGGTGATTGCTTTAAGATGGGTGTTTATTTAGAGGAGATCCTTGGTAATTTCATCTTTTTTTGAGATTTCCATTAGGTACAATGTCCATTCAAAGCATTTTGCTAGTTTCAGTGCATTTCCATATTTGAATTTTAAAAGCTAACAATTAAAAATATTAATTTTAACTTTGTTAAAAGTTACTTAAATATGACAGGAGCAGTGAGAGATAATCATATGCCCATCAGCTCAGAGATGCAGGATATTTAATGAAGCACACATGTAAATCAACATACAGCCAACAAATTCAGTCAGGCATTATGGTGCCATCATACTAAGAAAATAGAAATCTATTGTACTAAACAGGAAGTGTCACTTGAAAAACTCAAAATTGTGTCTTTATGACCTACTCATCCCTTACATTATTGTTTTCTTCTTCATACTATTAGCAACTATGTGAAAGAAGAAATTAAAAATTTGTTAGGTCTTATCTCTGTTTTAAGTCAAGCAAGTTCTTTTTTCTAATTTTTTTATTCTAATTTTTTAAGTCATTTACATCCAGGCCCTAATAGTAATTAACATATTCTTAGTGACTTTTTATATATTTCAAATATCTTTCATAAATTCTTTTAATTTACAAAACACTAATTACGAAAGAAATGACATAATTTGACTTTAGGACTGTTGGCAACAGATTAACTTAAATATTGCAGTACTATCTGGCCATTAAAACATTATCTCATGAAGTAATATTTATAAACAGTCAAGCTGTTTTAATAGAGCTTCACGTTCTCTGAGAGCTTTCCAACACATGTCTTGTTCAGTCTTGGAGAGAACTTTCTTTTGCTGTTTTGCTGCAACGACATTTCTATAACTTTCCATTATATCGCAATCAACACGATGAAGTTTTCTTTTTAACTCTTGCCGAGTTATCTGAACTTCAGCTAAACTGATGAGCCTTTTTAAATGCATGTGGTTATAATCATTGAGAGTTTGTAATTCTGTTTGGCACCTCTTAATTTCTTGAAGAATTTCATCATCAACACAACTTTCTTTAGGCTGATCATTGTTTTCCAGAATACCTTGATCTTCCAATTCTTTTCTCACTTTTCTATCAAAATTAACTGTATTGTTGGTAATGAATGTTCGAAATAACCCTGACCGAGGCGTAACATTTTCCCCACCTGACGATTTTGAATCCAATTTTTCAGTACAGTTCAATTTCACATTTTCTTCAATCAATGTAGAAACTAAACGCTGAGTTAAGGGACCTGAAGAAACTTCACTTGCTTTTTCTCCTTTCTTCAGTAGTGTTTGTGCTTCAAGTTGATTCCCTTTATTTTGGCCTCTTGCATCACTTCTACCTTCTTCTTGTTCACTTTTCATATCTTCATCCGCCCAACGCCGGCTGTAGTGACGGCCTAGGGGGGGAATCTTTTGATATTCATCTCCACTTTCGCATTCTTTGGCAAGTTCCTCTAGAAATCTGATATCATCACGAGTAATTTCTCCACAATATGAGTCTACTGATGCCCAGAATTTATTGGGCAAATCATATCGTGAATGTAATAATCTTGGAGAATCATGTTTTACAGATTTTTGTGGCTCATGATCTGGTAGACAAATATTGGCAGAAGAACTGATACTGGCTGGAACACTTTTGACCTTTGTAAATTTGATACCCACAGGGGCCTTCCCCAAGTCTTGCAATTTAGATTCTTTCAATTTTCTACCACGTTTATTGTGAACATTTATTTTTGTAGTATGGCGATGTCTATTAGCAAAATTACCTCTCCTCTTGTGTTTCTCTTCATTATTAGTGACTGTGTTTATTTCCTTTTGCAGCACTCTACTGCGTACAACAACAGCAGATAACAATGCCTCAAGCTCCATCTGTAAAGCATCTAAATCGTCCATAAGAACACCTTCCTCATCAGACCGACTAAGTACTGCAGAGTAGCGAGGTAGCATTTTATCTCTGTCAATAGTTTTTAACAATGGAAATGTCAAGACATTTTCAGTTTTAGAAGATGACCCTCCCGGAACTTGCGACGTTTTGATTTTTGTGATATCATTATGTTTTCCCTTAAGAGAATGTTTTCCTATGTCATGATTGTTCCTCTCTTGGGAATTTTTTTGAGAATCTTTGGGCCTTCCCACTTTCTTTCCACTCACCTTCATCCTGCCAGGCATCATTACAACAGCAAGGAATTAAACTTAAATCTAAAAATCAAATATATCTGCTTTTCATGGGCATCTTCATATCCTTTGCAGTTCATTCTGCAATCTGAAAAATAAGCATTACAATGTTTTTATTGTCATTTCTATTAATTTATGATGATCATACAATACTAGTTTTATCTTTTCTAAAAAAAATATCAAATGATTCCTCCCTAAAAAAATCCTTCAATCTACGGACATGCAAAGCCTTTGCTTTACAAAACAAACCGGGCTCCAAACGAATACATTCCCGCCAATGGAAACGCTAACTGATCGGTCCTGTTTCTTAAACATTTCTACGACACGAAGCATAAGTGGCGGCGATCTCAACCTGCTGCAGGTAAAGTGGGTGTGGTGACTTTGAAAGGAGTAACGCAGCATAAGTGCTCGTGAATAGGTCTGTTTGGGATTGCGAATCTAGGCAGGTAGTCGAGGACCCAACGAGGGAGCATGCAATACTGGATATGTTTCTTGTTCGCCCTGAAGAACACTTCATTTCTTGCGAAAATGTTTCAGGCATAAGCGATCTCAGTGGTACTTTGTTGAAAATGGAAAATAGATTTCATGAAATGTCTGATATAGAATCAGATATCAAAGTTTTTGCTTTACCATATTCAATGTTTACAGCGTAAATCACGATTTAGAGTTGGAAATATTAGATCTTCAAAATAATACAGATTTGAAAGACAAATTCCTGCACAAGGAAGATCAACTTAAATTTGTAAAACACAAAAAACCCATAGACACTTCCTAACCTCCACAAGCAGGCTACCAAAATTTTAAGTAGTATGTTTGAATGTACGTATGTTTGTGAGCAATTTGTTTCTCGTATGAAAATTTGTAAACCAAGACAAAGAAGTTTTCTGACATCGCAACTTCACTAAAGTCTTGAGGTTAAGTTGCGCTGAATCATTTGGGCCAAATATTAAACATTGTGCGAGAAAACATATTTTAAAAAATTAGAAAGAATTAATATGCAAGATCCCTTTAGAGTAATACTGTGTATTTTCTGGTAGTTTGGTTGCATTACAACTTTCAGATGAAAACATTTACACGATTTCTTACAATTCAATATTCTGGTATTGTTGCTGTCGAAAACATTCTCACGAGAATTTGCTAAAAGTTTTGCTTGACCGAATTATTAGTTTAATTATTGTTCTCTAATGTTGGTGGAAGTAGCAATAAATATTCGCAATGATAATACCTGTTTTGGTATTTGCGCTTGTAGACGGAACGCGGGTGTCTGTGGACGAAATCACGCCAGTGTGGAGCGACAAGTTGCACCGTTGAATTTCTCATATCCCGGTGTTTGACCCTTCAATTTCTCACAGCGCTCCCGCTGCTGGGTCCCTGTCATCCGCTGAAAGCCGGGAGCAATTGTCCTTGGCTACGGAGCGATGGGCCTGTGCTCGAGTATTGCGTTAGTCTTGTTCCGCACAAAACACTAAAAAATAATCCGGATCCTGAATATTATAACGAACGTAGTCGACTGCTGAAAAGAAAAGTGAGGAAAGCATTCATTGTGAAAAAGAGCTAGACACGAAGAACATTGCACAAGAAAAAATTCTAAATTCGATTCTACATAATAAGGACAAGAGCTGGGGAAAAAACAGGGGACAGGACATCAATTTACAATGATTTGGAGAAAACAGACGCACTTGATTTGTACAACGTCCGTATTTTCGCCTCCGAAGAGGGGCAATGCGGTTAACATTTGCTCGCGTTGTGAAGATACGGATAACCTGTTTACACCAGAAGTTATTACGGAAGCGAATCACGGTGCTGGTTAAAAATAAACCCGTGGGCCCTGATAGAATTCCCTGGGAAATTTTAGGACATACCATATTCTTTTCCTTCAAAAATTAAAAAAAATGTAATTTTCTGACTTGTCTCCCACGTTGTTAATATTTACATTAGTGGCGATATACGGTTCACATTTTTGCATTTATGAGTATGCTTCAAATGATATCGTATAAAGTTTTTCAAAAACTCAAAAGTTTTCTGTAAAAATGAGCTCGAATTTCCGCATTTTCAGAAACGCTATTTCCTCAAAAACCACTCATTTTTCATTAAACGTTTCGTACGGATAGTGCTAATTGCTGTGTAAGATAATACTTTTTTTTGTTTCTTCAAAAATTATACAAACGTAATTTTTTTAAATATCTCTCACGCTGACAATATGACTGTTTACGGCGATTTGTAGACATTATTGCATATGTGAGAGGAAGTGTTTCAAATTGCTTCTAATAGAGGTTTTCGAAAACTAAAAAGATTTCTGTGAAAGAGCTCCAATTATCGCTTTTACAGAAACATTATACGCCCTTTTCTTAAAAACTGTTCCAAATTACTCAACGAAAGTTTCCATGTAGGACGAGGTTTTACTCTTTTATAATACTCTTTAAGTAATATTTCTGTTTTACAGTTAGGGAACCGAAAAATTGAGAAAATTGAAATAAAAAATCACTTTGGGCAGCGATAGACGGCAGCTGGCAAGAAAACGGGGTAAGACCAAAAAGATAGCCCAGACAAAAGAAATTAAACGCTCTACAATTCTGTAGTACCACTAGTTATTATGTTAATGGTAACGGAACCGAAATTCGATAAACAATCAGACATTTCGCGGCTGCATCGAGAAAATTAGAGGCAAATCCGACATTGATCAGTTGCAAAAATATCTTTAGGAATTAATGAAATGGTCCCAGGTAAACAAGATGAAAATTAATACAGATAAAAACGACGTTTTACGAAAAATCAAACACTGGAAACCCGCCACTATACAATTGGTAGAAATAAAATCCGCGAGGCACATAGTCTGGACATAATATTTCGAAGCGACCTCAGCCGAGTGAATAACGTAGATAAACAATACAGGAGGCTTGGAAAGCTCTTCTTTTTATTTTGCGTACATTACGGAATGCTAACTCTAACACGAAAATGCAGGCCTTCATATCTTTGGTTCGTCCCATTTTAGAATACAGGATATGTACATAGGAGGGAACGTCAATTATAGCTTTAAACCCGAACACACAAAAAAGCGGCTAAATTCGCAAATAGAAACACAGTGCTTTGCTTATTTGCTCTCTTCACGGCGTACCCAAAGCAACAGGCATTGGAAACTATCAATGAAAGCCTTGTGATGCCAAGCTACTTAACTACAGTGGCTCACATAAATATTCGCCACAAACACTGAAGACGTTTCTTGTTTGACTAATTTTTCGCACGTGCGCAGACGTTACATGTGAGGAAATGCAACCGAACTGTGACTTTATTATTAGGAAACAGAATAATACAAAAACAATTATTCTGCTGCACAACATACATTTCATAAACAAGGATTTACGTGTGAATATGCAAAAATACGAAGTCACATTAATTTTCGGACACATAATGAAATATGTCCTGTTATCCCCTCGGCACTTTCCTAGATAGCGCGATAAGCGCACCATCCTCTACCCAGGACAAACGAGACTATCCAGTCAGTCACTGTAAATATTTCCGCCTGGAAACACCTTTTGCAATGAGGCGCAAAGAAAAGAACTCTACGTTCGAACAGAAGCAACTTGTGTTTTTCCACCACGCAAAGGGAAGCTCCTGCAGGGAAATCACAAATCTCCTCATGAGCAAGACCACAGTGCACAATATCATTGTGAGATTTGAGAAAGGAGACAGAATTGAACCTAAACCGCAACGAGGACAATGTAAAAAGATCTGCGAAAGAGAGCAGCGTTAAATTTTGAGGGACGTACGAGAAAATCCGAAGGTGAGTGCCGTCCAGCTGGCAGCGGAACTATGCGAAGCGTCAGCGACATCTGAGCACCCCGAAACAGCGCGCAAAGTAATTAGGAATGCCGGACATCACGACAGAGCGGCCAGGAAGAAACCCTTTATCAGCGCTGGGAATAGAGAAACGACTCGAGTTTCCAAAGGAATACGTGACGAAATCAGGAGTAGTGGCGAGAGGTAATTTTTATATGAGATGAGTACAAGTTTAATATTTTTGGAAGTGACGATAGGAAAATGATGTGACGAAAACCAAAGACAGAATTACATCCTAAAAACGTAGTGTCAACTGTGAAATACGGAGGTGAACACATTGGTGTGGGGCTACATATCAGCTGCTGGCGTGAGGGAGATGGTGTTTATTAAAGACACAATGGACAAACATCAGTATCTCAACATACTGAAAGAGAGTTCACAAAAATCTTCTGTCACACTAGGCATCAGGAACTCATTTAAATTTTATCAAGACAATGACCCGAAACACAAATAATAATTGGTGTGCGAATGGTTGTTTTACAATCGTCTAATAGTTCTGGCAACGTCCCACCCTCCTGACCTCAATCCAAACAAGAATTAATGGCAGAAATTGGAATGTACAGTCTGGCGAATCCCAATGACGTCAAAGTCCCATCTGAAAGTGAGAATCCAGGAAGAATGGGCACAAATTGGACAACAGTGCCAGAAGAGGATTATTGGTTCAATGCCAAAGTGATTACAGCAAGTCCATGACTACATTGGCTGTTACAAAGTATTAATTTTTCGTATTATATTTCATTTCATATGTCCTAATATTGCTGTCGCTAATGTATCCAGACAATTTTATTTTGTTATCTTTTTTATCGAATGCGTCCACTATATTCTCCAATTTTGTTTTCTTCATACTGTTATCCGTTAATAAAGGAATAATTCTGTTTCACTTTCTTGATTATATTTTTTTCCTACAACCGTCAAAATATCGCAGAATTTATGATTTCTGGAGTATATCTGGGTGTCCGAATATTAAAGTGAGCCACTGAAGGGACGACCATTCACACGAAATAAAATGCAGAAAGCTAGGAACAGATTTAGGAAAATTCAGCATTGTACAAAGGTCCTTTGTTGACTGCAACAATTTAACTGCAGAAATGGCGGCGACCCTTTCCAGAAGAATGCAAGTTATGCCTTCGAGATTTCTCGAGAGCGCAAGTGTAGAGGAAAGTGACGTCCAGTGAAATGCAGGGAAGGCCAACTTAAGTGCGATGTATTACAGCAATTCATTGTTAATGAATAAATTACTGGTTATTGAAG